AGTGCTTTGCACTTGCTGGTGTTGAATTTCATTTACCATTTTTCTGTCCACTCCTGCAGTTTATTTAAATCCTCCTGTAGTGCATTTTCATCCTGCCCTGAATTAATCTGCCACCCTATTTTGGTGCCATCCGCAAACTTGCTAATGTCACTGCTGATCCCAGTATCTATGTCATTTATGTAGATTAGGAACAAGAGTGGGCCCAGTACTGACCCCTGGGGAACCCCACAGGTTACACAGCCCCACTCAGATTTAACACCATCTACGCTGACCCTCTGTGTTCTATCGGTGAGCCATGATTTTATCCAATTTAAAACTTTCCCCTCGATACCATGAGCCTTAACTTTTCTCAGAAGCCTCTGATGCGGTACTCTGTCAAACGCTTTGCTAAAGTCTAAGTAAATAACATTGTAATTTTCGTCATTATCTACTACCTTGAAGACTCCAAAGAAACGTCAGCAGATTTGTGAGACAAGATTTTCCCTTTGTAAACCCATGTTGAGAGGTATAGATTAATTTGCTTTTCTCTAAATGCGATCGGATGCTATTTGCTATAATTGATTCAAGAAATTTCCCCACAATTGACGTCAAACTAATCGGCCGGTAATTTGACGCTGATGCTCTGTCTCCCTTTTTGAGTATGGGTACTACATTTGCCTGTTTCCACAAGTCTGGCACAACTCCCATGTCTAATGATTTTGTAAATAAATTTACTGGGGTCCGGTAATCTGTTTCTTAACTCTTTCAAAACTCGAGGGAAAATTTCATCCGACCCTGGGGATTTTGTCTTCTTTAATTTATTTATCTTCTTAAGAACATCCTCTTTTTTGATAGTGATATTCTTTAATTTCTCTTCTTTATTACCCCTAAATATTAGTTCCACCTCTGGAATTTCCTCGTGAATTTCTTCTATGAAAACTGATGAGAAGTAGCTGTTTAATGCTTTGCTTATTTTCTCACTATCATCGATCACTTCCCCACTCTTCCCCACTTCTCCCCGACTTTGTCCTTGACCTTTGTTCTATATACCTGAAAAAATCCCTTGGGTTTTGCCTTGGTTTCTCTTGCTTTCCTGATTTCGTTGTCCCTCTTTGCCTTCCTTACATTTTTCTTAACATTCCTAGATAGTTCATTATACCCATTTCTGAGCTGCTCCTCCCCTCCCTTTATTTTTTTTTTTAGAAATTCCTTTCTTTATTCCTATGTCATGTTAAAGTTTTTTGGTCATCCACCTTGGCTCATTCTTATTTGACACAATTTTTCTGTATGGTATATTTTGTTCTTTTGCTTTACGTAGTATTTGAGTGAATATATTATAGTCATGATCAATTGTTGTGTCACTTGTGACCTCACCCGTTCCTTCTCGGGACTGACCTGACTGTTCCCGGGCGAACTCACTTAGGTGCCTTCTTAACCCCTGATAATCCGTCAATCGAAAGTTTGGGACTCTAACCATATTGTCATTGTTTTTCGTTTCCCAATTTAGGGTGTACCTGATTTCTCTGTGATCACTGTTCCCTAGTTCTTCCCCTATTGTGATATCTCTGATAATATTTTCTTTATTTGTTAATATTAGATTTAATATATTATCACCTCTAGTAGGTTCTGTAATTAGATGTTTCAAAAAATTGTCCTGTACTGCATCTAGGAAGTCTTCAGATTCAGTCACCTACAATGTTGTCCCAGTCAATACTTCTGAAGTTGAAATCCCCCATAATGCACAGGTTGTTGTATTTTGCTGCCCTACTCATTTCCTGCCATATGGGCTGAGCTGCTTCTTTCCCAAGACTTGGGGGCCTGTAAATCACACTCATAATTAGTTTTTCTCTTCCTTTCGGTTCCAATTTCACCCTTTATTGAATTGTTAATACAACATTTTAATTCATCCCTGACGAAGAGTGCGACCCCTCACCCCTTCCTACCTTCCCTATCCTTTTGAAAAAGGATGTACCCTTCTATGTGGTACTCTGATAAAAAGTTCTTGCTCGCCAGATTCATCCAAGTTTCGGTGATTGTTATGACGTCTACATTCTCGGTACATACAACTGCTCTCAGCAAGTTTATTTTATTTCTAACGCTCCTAGTATACATTTAAACCTATCCTTCCATTGTCCTGTTTTACCCCTTGTCCTGAGTAACCAATTTTACTCCCCCGGACCTGCTTATTTTTTTACTCCCACTTAACTCGACCTCTCTCTACTGGCGAACCCCCCCCCCTTTGTAGTGACAATTTCATGCTCCATGGATGCAGACAACGTCTTTACCCCCGCGCGAGTCAAGTGTACTCCGTCACGACTGCACAGGTAGTCGTTGCCATAGAATGGTTGTCATTTATCAATGAATGCCCAAGCATTGCTTGCACAATATTTTCCAGTCGGCAATTTATAGCAATTGCCCTGGACAGCCATTCACAACCAACTCCTCTTCCAGGCAAGACACCACATACTATCGGGATCCCTCCCCTATCTCTAACCTTCCCTAGCGCCTCCCTATACCCCGTGAAAAGTTCTTCACTGCTAACCTTAGTTCCTCACTCCTAACCTTTCCTATGTCGTTACCTCCCACAGTAAGACATACTACTGGATTGGTACCCTCCCCTGACAAAACCCTATCTATCTCAGCTACATGCCCTATCCCAGCCCCAGGAAAACACATCCTAGTCCTACATTTCCTATCTCTTGCACAAAAAGTCCTGTCTCAGAACCTTACCTGGCTGTCCCCAACTACCACGACCTTATATTTGGTAACTTGTTACGCTCGTCTACTATATTTCTAAGCCAATGTTTACCTATTTCGCGCCTAAATCTAAATTTGTCTAATTTAAAACAATTGTTTCGAGTTTGCTCCTGGTTGGATAGTTTGAGTACCTTTGTAATGTCCCCTTTCTTTAGCCCTGACTTCAATTTATACACCTTTATCATTTCGCTCCTCACTCTACGTCTCTCGAAGGAGTGCAAATTAAGATGATTTAACCTGTGTCTGTACTCAAGGTTCCTAATGCCCGGGATTAGTCCATTCATTCTCCTCTGAATTCTTTCCAAGGATTCCATATCCATTCTGTAATACGGTGACCAGAATTGAGCTGCGTAATCCAAGTGAGGTCTCACAAGTGAAAGATATAGTTTTACGATGACCTCGCTAATCTTGTAACTAACACTCCTTTGTCTGAACCCACATTGTTTACTTGGCTTAATGTGTTCCTACTTATCATTACTCCTAAATTTTCTCGCAGTCGGATTTCTCGATATCATCGTTGTTCACCTGGTATCTGTTTTCCCTGTTTACTTCTCCTACACTGAGTACTTTACATTTGTCCACATTGAATTTCATATGCCATTTTTCGGACCATTCGAAAAATTTGTTTAGATCTTCCTGTAGTTTTGCGGACTCCTCGTCAAATTTAATTACACGCCCTATTTTAGTGTCATCAGCAAATTTACTTATGTTGCTGTCTACGCCGATATCTATGTCGTTTATGTATATAATAAATAATAATGGTCCAAGTACTGAGCCTTGGGGAACTCCACTAGTGACGTTGCTCCAATGGGATTTAGTGCCGTTAATGCTCACTCGCTGTTATCTGTCCTGTAACCACGCTCTAATCCATTTTAGAATATCTCCTTTAATGCCATGAGCCTCCACTTTTCTTATTAGTCTTTCGTGGGGGACCCTGTCGATGGCTTTGCTAAAGTCGAGATATATTTTCGTATTGAAAGCGTTTGTCAATCAAGTGACCCACTCCCCGATTTCACCATATGTAACTTATCATCTCTGTTCATTATATATTTTTAGCCTTGTTATTCGTTGAATGATAGAATGAGAAAGGGAAGTAGATTGTATTTATTTATGTACCAAAAAAAAATCGATATTTCTTTCTCTCTCCCCCCAACACGCTACATCAGACGCACAACAACAGCGCAACACAACATCCACCACACCACATAAAATTATACCTCACTTGCACAACATAAAGCCTACACACACACTGCCGTTCTACCTCAGGTACACTGCACTCACCATCACACACAATAACGATCTCCATACCTCATTTTTACAGATAATAGCGAATTTCATAGTACTATTTTAGTCTTCAGTTTATTACACACGCACCGTTATATTGTCCTAGTATAAATTATTTCTAAAGGATTGCTCAGTATTATTAACTCGGTCGACTGAAAAAAAATGTCCCTGTTAATGGATCCGGATTAACAAAGGAGAGGCATTACACAAACTTGTGGTCAAAAAATGTGTTGAGAAAGTTTTCATATTTGCACCAAACACACCGTAATACTCATGATGTGAAGGAGTAACTCTGCAAGAACTGAAGTGTAGACGAGGGAACTGTCACCAGAAATACTATATACAGCGCCGTGAACTATTGCAGGAAATAACGGGAAAGTTGGCTGAGGGATTAGTATTATGTTAATCAGTGAGTAAGAAAGGAGGAAGGAATAATATTTTATTTACGAAAGACGGAAACTTTTGTTTTTCTTTTGCAAAACTCAAATTATTTAACATTAGTGACACTGAACCACAATATAGAAAAACAAGTAGACAATCATCATGTATATAAATATTGACACATCAACAAGTGATCCTCGAGCGTAAACACTAACGATCTTTGGCATGTTTATATATACTGTATTGTGTGGATCATCTCGCGCACCTGCTAGATCCCGTCACAAATAACACGTAGTCTGCTTTAACTCTGGCTTCTGGAACTTTTACGTTAACAAAGGAATGCAAACAGCACCATTTCAAAAGCTCTCAAGATTCTCTGAGGAAAATCCTGGACTTAAGGATTTTTGGGAGGCCAACAAAGCTGCAATGCACTGAGGCGAAAGCAAAGCTATCTCCAGAAGCTGCGGTCCACGTGCGGTAACATCACACACCACAGACGTAATGTAGTCAAAGAGGACTGAATTTATTCATCGTCATCGTTTGTATAAACAATGACACAAATCAAGATCGGGACGTCTTTGCATTTTAAAACGACCACAATGTTAAAAGTAAAAAAACATTCTCTAAAGAAAGTACACGTCTCATGCCACACCTGCAGCAGTACACGTCTCATGCCACACCTGCAGCAGTACACGTCTCATGCCACACCTGCATCAGTACACGTCTCATGCCACACTTGCAGTAGTACACGTCTCATGCCACACCTGCAGCAGTACACGTCTCGCAGTGCTACACCTGCAGCAGTACGTTTCATGCCACACCTACAGCAGTACACGTATCGTGCCACACCTGCAGCAGTACACGTCTGTGCCACACCTACAGCAATACACGTCATGCCACACCAGCAGTACACGTCTCATGCCACACCTGCAGCAGCACACGCTTCATGCCACACCTGCAGCAGCACGCCCGCGCCACACCAGCAGCACACGTCTCATGCCACACCATCAGCAGTACACGTCTGCCACACCCAGCAGTACACGCCACACCTGCAGCAACACGTCTCATGCCACACCTACAGCAGTACACGTCTCTATGCCACACCTGCAGCAGTACACGTCTCATGCCACACCTGCAGCAGTACACGTCTCATGCCACACCTGCAGCAGCACACGTTTCATGCCACACTGCCACCAGCAGTGCACGTCTCATGCCACACCAGCAGTACACGTCATGCCACCATCAGCAGTACACGTCTCATGCCACACCTCAGCAGTGCCACACCTTCAGCAGTACACGTCTCATGCCACACCTGCAGCAGTACGTCATGCCACACCAGCAGTACACGTTGCCACACCATCAGCAGTATCATGCCACCTGAAGCTACACGTCTTATGCCACTCTTGAAGCAATACACGTCTTCGCACACACCGCAACCAAGTACACGTCTGTGCCACACCTGAAGCAGTACACGTCTCATGCCACACCTGCAGCAGTACACGTCTTATTCCACACCTGCAGCAATACACGTCCCATGCTACATCTACAGCAGTACACGTCTCATGCCACACCTGAAGCAGTACACGTCTCGTGCCACACTTGAAGCAGTACACGTCTCATGCCACACCTGAAGCAGCACACGTCTCAAGCCACTGTTGAAGCAATACACGTCTCATGCCACACCTGAAGCAGTACACGTCTCGTGCCACACCTGAAGCAGTACACGTCTCGTGCCACACCTGAAGCAGTACACGTCTCGTGCCACACCTGAAGCAGTACACGTCTCCTGCCACACCTGAAGCAGTACACGTCTCGTGCCACACCTGAAGCAGTACACGTCTCCTGCCACACCTGAAGCAGTACACGTCTCCTGCCACGTTTTGACAAGTTTTAACAAGTCAAGTGGATGTCTGTGAGCCTTGTCCTCACTCTTATGACAGTCATTGATGTGTACAAGGAAATCTTATAGTAACAGACGAAACGATGCATTTTATGGCATTTTAGGGAATGTATAGCTAAATATAACCATTCTGGTGTCATTAAGGGACATCTTATTGAAGTTATTTGATAAATTGTTTGCTTCTTGATACTTCACGAAACGTTGCATGAAATGTACAATGTAATTTTTCTTCTGAACTTCAGGTAACTTCCCGTTCCATTTCATCCAACACATTTACAGTAGATTAGAACTTTAACTGAAGATAGAAATGATAATTAACTGCTAAGTTTGGAAAGACAATACTAGTGGGAGCTACAGGCAGACATTAGAAGGCCGATGAGTAACTTAAATTAAGGTTATTCATTATTTTTACTCAAGTTTCTGAACTAAGATACAAGAGGTTCCTCCATACAGCGTACGGAAGCTTTTTTTTTAATTACATTCAACTGCAGGATACTAAAAGTTAAATAAAAGCTAACAAAGGTCCAGTTCAACCACTAAATTATGTCTTTAGGATTTAAGCCTTGAACATGAAGTTTATTAGATTTAGCTGGTTGACTCTTATAATGTACTGCATTTGAAGATGACCAACAGCAATAGGTTCTTCTCCTCTTAAACGTTTTTCAGTCGGGTTTTTAATCTCATGTTGCCAATGTACCGTACAAACTTCCTATTTTCCCTTCTGGTGACGTCTCTCTATCGCGTATGACTTAGTAGATTCATGCGAGGAAGAGAGATTAAAGAAGACGGAATCATAATGGTATTTTATGATGTACAGTGAGAGATGAAGTATCATCCCACTACACCCACACCAGTCACACTACACTCACACCAGTCACACTACACCCACACCAGTCACACAACACACACATCAGTCACACTACACGCACCAGTCACACTACACCCACACCAGTCACACTACACACATCAGTCACACTACACCCACCAGTCACACAACACACACATCAGTCACACTACACCCACACCAGTCACACTACACACACATCAGTCACACTACACCCACACCAGTCACACAACACACACATCAGTCACACTTCACCCACACCAGTCACTACACCCACACCAGTCACACTACACACACACACCACATTTACTACACACACACCACATTTACACTACACACACACACATTCACACTACACCCACACCAGTCACACTACACACGCACCAGTCACACTACACCCACACCAGTCACACACTACACTCACACCAGTCACACTACACCCCACCAGTCACTACACCCACAGTCACACTACACTCACACCAGTCACACTACACCCACACCAGTCACACTACACACATCAGTCACACTACACACGCACCAGTCACACTACACCCACACCAGTCACACACACACCAGTCACACTACACCCACACCAGTCACACAACACACACATCAGTCACTACACCCACCAGTCACACTACACAGTCACACTACACACACACACCACATTTACACTACACACACACACACACCACATTTACACTACACACACACACATTCACACTACACACACATCACAGTCACACTACATGCACATCAGTCACACTAAACACACATCACAGTCACACTACACACACATCACACTACACACACACATCACAGTCACACTACACACACACAGCACAGTCACACTACACACATCACAGTCACACTACACACACATGAGTCACACTACACATCCCACATCACTTTCACACTACACACACACATCCGTCACACTACACAGTCACACTACACACACATCACAGTCACACTGCACACACATCACAGTCACACTACACACCTCACATCACTGTCACACTACACACACACATCACAGTCACACTACACACACATCACAATGACACCGCACACATCACAAACAGTCACACACACACACACGTATCACACAATTTTACACCACACAGTCATACCACAAACATTACACAGTCACAGCACATATACGTTGTCACGCTACTCACACATACACATCACACAGTCACAGAACATGTACGTTGTTACACACACACACACACACACACACACACACACACACAGTTTCATGTCAACTCCTGAGAACGAGTCAATACACCGCCGCCCGGTGTCTCCCTAACCACGTGAGGTCTTTTATATCAATACTAACGTAACCTCATAATGTATATACTGTAAACCATAACTTGTATGTTCAATTTATGTTCCCTTTCCTTTTATTAATGAAAACTTTTGATAAACGGCCCAACCAACCCCCACCCCATGTCGTTGCATTTCTGTCCAATGTATATTTTCAACCTTTTGGCTGCTGAACTATTTTATTTCAATTAACCGTAAATTATTATTACTAATATTAGTATTATTATCAATAATGGTTGCTCCTCGTGTAACATGGATGGCCTGCCCACGGGCCACCTAGGCGTGAATTTGTTTAAGGTGTAGAAGCTGTCGCCAGCACAACAACCACACCCTAGGTTAACGAGCTGCATGACCCAGTGTCAAGGAATAGTATGAGAAGACCGGACAACTCGTTCGTCAACTGCACTGGCGAACCATTACCCCGGAATTCGATTAACATCCAGGCTCTCAATTACTGCTGGTTGGACAGAGGCAAATGGCGTAAAGAAACTAGCCGGCGATCGAACCTGGGAACACTCACTTGTGAGGCGAGCAGGCTGACCATTACACACACACACACACACACACGCGCGCGAGCGGAAGCACCGAGAAAAAGTTCGGAAGAGGGCATGCAAGATTATTCTCTCCTCTTACTCCACATATCAAGAAGCGCTCAACACACTGTCCCTCTCGGCTCTCTCTGATCAGCACCATGACCTCGTCTACAAATTTGTTGAGTAGCTTCTGCACCATCCTTGCAACCGGCTCCTGCTTCCACCCGAGATCCCTCGTCAGCGAATTACTGTTTGACACCACAACCGCATCCAGCCCATACGAGCACGTACTGATCGCTTTAAGAACAGCCCAGTCCCAACCATTGTAAAAATTATCAACAACGCGTAATCAACCAGTGTGTTCACTCCCAGCCAATCTTACCTTTTTGCACTGTCACTATGTTGAAATGCCCTGTAGTATAACCTTCTCCTCCTCCCCTTGTTATTATACGTGTATCATATTTGTATCACTTATGATGCTTGTATATTATTTGTCAATTAAGTGATCCATTCCCCAATTATGTGACTATATTTTCAACCCCTTGGCTGCCAAGCTCTTTCAATAAACCGTTACTTATTATTATCATTATTACACACACATACAAACACACACACATATATATATATATATATATATATATATATATATATATATATATATATATATATATATATATATATACATATATATATATATATATATATATATATATATATATATATATATATATATATATATATATATATATATATATATATATACAGTATATATATATATATATATATATATATATATATATATATATATATATATATATATATATATATATATATATATATATATATTGTACAGTTTCACCGCCCCCCCTCCCCCCAATCCCCTCACATGGCCGGGAGCAGATTTCACCATAAATCCTTCCGAGTCATCACAAACGCAGATAGCCGTGAAATCTATGAATTTTGTGAAACTGTAAAATTGGAACGCCATCACGACTTGCCTGACAGCGCGGAGGTGGGTAATTTAAATGCCCATGAATAGATAAAAGAATTAATATATTTTTTTCAATATCTAATGAACTCATTTCATCCTGAAGACACTTGATTAAATTTGAATATACGTGAATGTAACTACAAATTAAAGTATACTCATTTAATTAATAAGCAATTATTTTTTAGTGCAGATATCCTTATATATTGATGGGAGGAGTTAATTTTCATATTCAACTAATAAATTTTAAGGAGTTTCAGTAACTATCAACAAACAAAACACTGTAAACTGTATTATCAGTAGAGGCCTTAGATTTATTAATGCTAAACCCATCTACAATTTATGAATAATCGTCTGGTTCAGCCTTAATATAAAGAACAACTGGCGTTATTAACCAAATAATGATACTCGTTTTAGTTGTAAATTATTATAGAATAATATAAATTATTCTAGATATGGAAAAATTTGTTACGTTGGGGTAGTGATGATGTTATACGTTTACAGTGTGTTATAAGTACCAATATCTGCAATTTTATGTGATCGTCACTTTTTACTGACCAATTTTAATTTTGGAACAAAAAAATATTGTAACTACTGTACTGTATCCCGGTATATATATATATATATATATATATATATATATATATATATATATATATATATATATATATATATATATATATATATATCGATAAAATCGCACGGGAAAAGGGAAACAACGGAGCACCTTAGCTTTCGTCTTTATTCAAGACATCTTCAGAGGAAACTGGTATCTGACTGTATTGGTTGCAATCTTTTCTCATGTTTTAGTTTGATACATTTGGTAGAATGCTTTGGGGTTTGTATTTGCCTCCCTTGCTATCCTTACC